GAATGAGGAGAGGTAATATAAACTGATGGGACAATCTTAAAGGAACAGAGAGACCTGTGGGTTCATATCAGTAAATCTTTGAAGGTGGCAGGACAGGGAGATAAAGCTGTTTAAAAAAGCATATGAAATACTAGGCTTTATAATAACAATTATTATAATAATAATCCTTACATTTGATATAGCACATTATCATGTCTACTAGACGACTCAAAGCACTTCACAGAATACACTGTAGAGTGAATTGACTGTACATTTTGTGGACGAAACGCAGCAGCCAATTGCACACAGCAATATACAAATTATTATTGTTTTTTCAAGGGATTATGATTAAAAGCGATCCGCCAATTGACTAACAACTGGGTTCCTACTTACTGCTGGTAAACAGAGGCGTGTGGAGTAAGAAAACTTGCCGAACTTTTCACCCTGCCGGGAATCATACCCAGGTCTCTCACTTGCAAGGCGAGTGCTATAACCACTGAGCTACAGGACTCCAAGAATAGATCTGATTTGACCATTAAAAAATATTACAAACTCCCCCATTTCTTGTCAATGATTTCACAGGGTGCAGAGAAGGGCATGAAGTGGAGTTAACCAAGCGGGTGCAACAGATATTGGGTACAAACAAATAAATGTATAAATAAGGGCATTTGATACAAAAATCAGAAGTTATGATGAACCTTTATATAAAACACTGGTGAGGCCTCAGCGAGAGACTGTGTTCAGTTCTGGGCCCCACACTTTAGGAAGGATGTCAAGGCATTGGAGAGGGTGTAAAGGAGATTGACCAGAATGGTACCAGGAATGAGGGACTTCAGGTATCAGGAGAGGTAGAGAAGCGAGGATTGTCCTCCTTGGACCAGAGAAGGTTAAGAGGAGACTTAATAGAAGTTTTCAAAATGATGAGGGGATTCAATAGGATGAACAAGGAGACACTATTCCCACTGGCGGGTGGGTCGGTAACCAGAGGGCACTGATTTAAAAGAGTTGTTAAAAGAAACAGAGGGGAGGGGAGGAGAAATAATAATAATAATAATCCTTGCATTTGATATAGCGCTTTTCACGTCGGGAGGACGTCCCAAAGCGCTTCACAGAACACACTGTAAAGTGAATTGACTATATTTGTGGGCAACGCGGCAGCCAATTGCACACAGCGAGTAGTTGGGATCTGGAATGGATTGTCTGAAAGGCCGGTGGGAACCGATTCCATAACAACTTGTAAGAGAGAAATAGATAATTATTTGGAGAGGACTAGTTTGCAGAGCTATGGGGAGAGAGCGGGGGAGTGGGGTTGATCAGGGCTATGGGGAGAGCGCGGGGGAGTGGGGTTGATCAGGGCTATGGGGAGAGCGCGGGGGAGTGGGGTTGATCAGGGCTATGGGGAGAGAGCGGGGGAGTGGGGTTGATCAGGGCTATGGTGAGAGAGCGGGGGAGTGGGGTTGATCAGGGCTATGGGGAGAGAGCGGGGGAGTGCGGTTGATCAGGGCTACGGGGAGAGAGCGGGGGAGTGGGGGTGAATTGGAAGCTCTTTTCAAAGAATCGACATGGACAGAATGGGCTGAATGGCCTCCTTCTGTGCTGTATAATTCTATGATTGTTGGCCAGGACATTCAAGATTGAGAGACCACAGTCAGCGCTTGATAGTAAATCCTGTGAAACACTACCAACTGATCCAAGGGCAGCCTGTCCAGGCTAAAGTGTCCTCTCTTCAAGGTCCCGGCAAAGTACAGCACTTATGGTGTTGCTTAAGTGCCAACTGCGTATTTGATTTCATTAAATTCAACAGACCACCACATTGAAGGTCAATATCACCACTGACAACAGAGGCATTTAACAAATTGGTCGCTGTTTCCTAGAATTCAATACCAAAGTGAGTGACTTTGTGACTATCCTCTTTTGGTTGAGGTAAGTGGGGTCTCCTTGAAGCTGAACTGGCCCCAAGGCGACATGTCTGACAACAGAATGTCAGAATCAAGCCCACCCTCTGTGGCTCTACAGTACTCCATGGCACTGCTGATGACAGGGCACAACTTGGTTCATCAGGCAGACCAGTCACTGGGGGCAGGGACTCTCCCCCTCAGCTCCTGTTAACCCTGCAAGCCAAAGTGCTAATGGGGAGGGTGGTCCTCGGTGGACAAGCAGCAGGAAAGCTTGCCAGACAGTGATATCAATGGCAAGCTATGTGGTTTTAGCTGGTTAGACTTCAGCAGTTACCCCAACGCACATTCTGGGCTCCCCAAGCCTTGGCTCTTGCCAACTTGTGCCCAATACTTTCCTAATAAAAGAGGGAGAGCGCGTATTTCATTCCACCAATCTATCTCTGGGATTTCTGTGTGTAGATGGGATGTATGGAATCTCAGCTTGGTTTGGAGACTCTTGAGCAACCGTGATGGGTTTCCGCACGTGGTCAGACACCCGGCTGACCCCAAAAAAGCAAGTCTCAGAACTATCTAGACTCAATATTGATATGATGGGTCGAATGGTCTCCTTCTGTACCATGTTTCTATGGTTCTTTAGAAAATATGTGTATAAATTGGCCATTGTCAGTTTGGTTGAGCAACTCTCGCCAACAAAATACACAGTCACTACACTTTTGCTCTACTTGCTGACCTCCAACTGTTGTCTACACAAGCAGCAGACTATCCAGAATTCTGTAGCCATGTCCTCTCCTACATTTGGCTCCTTGAGCCTATCACCCCCCATCCTCGCTCAGCTCCATTCGCTCCCCAACCTCCCGTGGGGATTGAGTTCAAGATCATCGTTCTGAAGTTAACATTTTAGTTCAACTTCTCTGACCTCCTTCAACCACCTGCTGCTTCATGTCCATCAACATATCCACCCCACTATTAGCAAGTGAGCTTTCAACCATGTTGCCTTCACTCTCTAGAAGTTCTTCTGACTGCCCCCCCACCCTACTTTCAAAGCCCACCTCAAAATTTTGACTGTAAATTGGGTCATCTTCCCCCCCGCCCCAACTCCCATCACGCACCCCCCCCCCCATGCACACATACAACTGTGTAAAGTGCTTGGAGATGATCTCCCAGGTGAAATATGCAAGGATTATTTGATATTATAACTCTCTCCTCCAAGTCAGATGAGATGTGAGGCCGCAAGGGGAATTTTTGGAGTTAATTATATGTGTTGGGGTTCTGCTAATCAACCGTTGTTGGCCTGTTCCAATCTCCGTCTTTTAGCTGTGGGTTTAAACTTGTGTCCTCTCCAGGTGTCAGCCTGGCTCAGTTGGTAGCACCTGTTGCCTACGAGTCAGAAGGCTGTGATCCCAACGTCAGGACTTTGAGCTCAGTCCAGGCTGACACTCCAGCGCAGTACTGGTGGGAGCACTCCATTTTCACGGATCCTGTGGCACTGTTTGAAAAGAGAAGGGAGTTTCTCTCTCCCAGTGTCCGTTTGACAAACCCCCGGATTAAATTGGTCATTTAGTTCACGGCTGTTGGCAGGATGTTGCTGTGCACAAATTTCCCCCACAAAATACACCGCCAATTCACCTTACAATATATATTGTGTGAAGTCTTTGCTGAGAGAGAGGAATAATTTTGCAATGCAATCATATTTGGATCATGGTCTCTGCGTAATCTGTAAACTGCACCGGACGGAGCAACAGAGAAATGGAAACTCTCGCTCTCTCATGTACAAGCCCGTGACTAGCAGCGGGCCCCAGTATAATAATAACTTGGCAAAACAACACACTAAACTGTCAGCTTAGCTCACTTGGTAGCACTCCCACCTCTATGTCACGTCAGGACTTTGAACTCAGTCTTGCTTGACGTTCAGCACCTTGGGAATGTCCTCCAGACGTGAAATGCGCTACACAAATGTAACTTGTTGTTGTTGTGTTGTCCTACTGGGGATGTCGGAGATGCCGTCCTTCAAATGAGACTTTAAATTGAGATCCTGTCTGTCAGGTGAATGTTAAAGGTCCTGTGGCACTGTTGGAAAAGAGGAGAGATTTTTCCCGCGTGTGTGTGGTGGGTGGGGGAAGGGGTCAGTGTGTGTTGGGTGGGTGGAGGGGGTCTGTGTGTGGGTGGGGGGGGGGGCAGGGATTGGGGTTTGTGTGTGTGTGCGTGTGGTGGAGGTGGATTGTCCGTCTGGCGCAGTGATTGTACTCTTACCGCTGAGTCAGAAGGTTGTGGGTTCAAGCCCCACGCTGGAACTTGGAATTACGCAGCAGTCTAAACTCACGGTCCGGAGCAGTGCGGGGGGCGGGGGGGGGGGGGGGCGGGGTGGGGTTAGGGGGTGTTACATTGTCGGAGGCGCCATCCTTCGGATAAGATGTTGAACCGAGGTCCCGTCTGCCTGTTCAGGTGGACGTTAAAGATCCCGCGGCGCCATTTGAAAAGCGCAAGGAGTCCTGGCCAACAATCCCCCCAAACAAAAGCTTGTGACTGTTTGGAAGGCATTTCTGTGCGCAAACCAACCTCTGCCTTTCGCCCACAAAATACACAGTGACCCCCCCCCACCCCCCACCCCCACTTTACAGTAAAATCCTGTGAAGCGCTTCGAGACGTCTCGACGACGCTATACATTGCTGTATCAATTCCAAGGATTATTATTAGTATTATTAGTATTATTATTATCATTATATACTGTATTATTATTGGGAGTGGTTTTGGTTGCAGCTGAATATGACCCAAAACAGTCTAATTACATCTTTTTTCAAATTATTTTTTTGCAAAACGTTTCGTTTCCAACCCCCCCCCCCCCCACCCCCAAAAGTATTTTTTTTTTAAAAAAAAACTTTCATCAAAAACTCCCCTGAACTGTGCCACTTGACACCCAAAAAAAAAAAAAAAAAACCCCCCCCCATCACAGGGAGAAGACGAGGGGGGAATATTGGGCTATGTTTGGGCTACATGTGGGGCTACTTTGTGCTCGTGAGCGGGGCGACTTCTGCGCGCGCGTGTCCGGGCCCTTTGGGCGTGGGGTTGGGCTATTTTTGGGCGGGTGCTCGGGCTATTCGGGCTACTTGGGCCGGTGTTTGGGCTATTCGGGGCTCCAGCCGCTGTTGGCGCCTCTGCCCCTCCCGCGGCACTGATGGCCGCCGTGTCGGTGGCGGTGGCGGCGCTGCGGGTCTACGCGGCGGGTCTGCGGCTTCTCTTCCTGCAGCTTCTCCCCCGCAACCGGAGCCCGGGCTCCGCAGGTCAGACCGCGCACCCCCCCCCCCCTCACCTCACCCCCGGCTCCTGCAGCTCCGGCCGCGGCCTCTCTCACAACTCCAGGCCCAGGCCTCACCCTCAGCCTCACCCTCGGCCCTCGGCCTCGGCCTCGGCCACGGCCACGGCCCGCGCTGCTCAGGCGGCACCGCCCCACACAGTGCCCCCACAGTGCCCCCCCACACAGTGCCCCCCCCCACACAGTGCCCCCCCCCCACAGAGTGCCCCCCCCCACACAGTGCCCCCCCCCACACAGTGCCCCCCCACACACACAGTGCCCCCCCCACACACAGTGCCCCCCACACACAGTGCCCCCCCCGTCCACACACAGTGCCCCCCCCCCACACAGTGCCCCCCCCCACACAGTGCCCCCCCCACACAGTGCCCCCCCACACAGTGCCCCCCCCCCCCACACAGTGCCCCCCCACACAGTGCCCCCACAGTGCCCCCCCCCACAGTGCCCCCCCACACAGTGCCCCCCCCACACAGTGCCCCCCACCACACACAGTGCCCCCCCCCACAGTGCCCCCCACAGTGCCCCCCCCACAGTGCCCCCCCCACACAGTGCCCCCACACACAGTGCCCCCCCCCACAGTGCCCCCACACAGTGCCCCCCCCACACAGTGCCTCCCCCCCACAGACTCTACCCCCTCCCCCCCCCCGCAGTCTCTACTCCCACCCTGTCCCCTCCTGACTCCAAGCCTACAAACAGTCTGTACCCTCCTCCCTCCCCCCTCCCCCACACACAGTCTCCCCCCCCCCCCAACAACAACAACAACTTGCCTTTATGTCGCGCCCTTCACGCAGGTTAGCGCCCCAGAGCGCTTTACTAATCCCCGGAGGATAGAGTTCAGAGCCCTCGCCTTGAAGGCCCCTCCCTGGCTCCTGCCCCTCTGCCCCCAGTCTCTGACCCCCCCCCCCCCCCCCCCCGAGGGCCCTTCCCCTTTGACCTCTGGGGTCCTGCCGCTGCCCTGCGCTCCCCGTCCGGGTTCTGGCGTATGAGGGGTTTTGTGTGAGTTGTGGATGTTATGTTGAAGAGATAACTAACGCACTTATATACACTGAGAGATCTTAGTTACTCCTCATCGATCAGGACATTGAGGTCTTTACCCCAAGTGTCTGTCTGTACACGTTCCCAACACGATTGGGGGCTGAATGGCCCGTTTCCATGATGTATAGCGTATATAAATCTACTTATATATATATATATATATATATTCGGTCTGAAATTCAACCTCATCTCGACCTGTAAATCTATAGTATTTTATGAACAATTTCCGATTGTGCTGAATTGTGAACGTTCTTTAAAGTCTTAATACGGAAACCGATTTTCCTCACTGAGGGGTTTTTCTGTGCTGTAGTGTTCTTTGTGAGCTGGACAAATGGATTGAGTTTTGCTCCTCGGGGCTGTACAGCAATAGTAATACTCCTCGCATTTGATGCAGCGATTTATCGCGTCTTCGGGACGTCTCAGAGCGCTTCACAGAATATGCTGCAAAATGAATCGACTTGGACGTGTTGCCGGCGAACAGCGGCAGCGAATTGCGCACGGCAGCGTCCCACAAACGGTCGTGGATTGAGTGACCCAAGTTATTCTTTTTAAAAGTTTCCTCAAAGTTTCAAATGGAAAAGGATCAATACGAGGGGGAGGTTCACGGGGGGTACTTTAGTCCTATATTTAATGGGGGTCCTGTCGCACAATGGTTGGAGCACTCGCCTCGCAGGCGAGAGACCTGGGCTCGATTCCTGGCAGGGAGAAACGTTGGACAAGTTTCCTTACTCCAACGCCTCTGCTTACCTCGAGGTAAGTGGGAAACCCGGCCGTGAGTCGATTGGCGTACACTTTTCCGGGGGTGATAATTCCTTCAAAAGAAACTTCAATCCATCACTGTTTGTGAGACACTGCTGAGCGCAGTTGGCCGCCGCGTTTCACCCGTTAAAAAAAATACAGTCAATTCACTTTGCAGTGTATCCTGCGAAGCGCTTTGAGACGTCTTGAAGATGTGATAAGGCCCTGTATCAAATGTAAGGATTATTATTACTGTTATTTAGTCTTGAAAAGCAGTGTCTCAGGTGGGACCTTACAGAGGCATATACACATTTGAGTGGTATTTAAGAAGTCAGTAGAACAATATTATCAGATGCACCAAGAAAGTAGAACAAGAGGATGTAGGTTTAGAGTTGCAAAGTGCAATTTCCGGACAGACACCAGGAAGTATTACCCCGAGGATAATTAACCACTGGATCAGGTTACCAGGAAGCATGGTTGAGGCCAAGACACTGAACTCATTTTAAAAATCCGGTTTGTTGCTGTGATGGAAAGACGATGGTCGGGTATTCTGGAAAATGAGATCAAATGGGCCAATGGCCTTCTTCATCTGAACTAATCTTGTGATCAGTGATCTTATATTCGCAGAGAGAAAGGACTACAGTACTTTACAGCTCAAGGGTAAAGTGCCAGTGTTAATGTTAGTGTTAGAAAAGTACGTAGTTGTGCTATTGTAGTTTGAGTTTTTCGTGCATTATGTTGGTGCAGTACTAATTATTTGTTCCACCAACTCCACAGTTCTTTCCCAACGCCTCAGAACGTTGTCCTGACGTGAAAGATACAAATGTAAGTTGTTGTTGCTTCTATGCACTCTTGATTTGCAAGCGAGAGACCTGAGTTCAATTCCAGGCAGAGGGCGAAACCTTGGGCAAGTTTCCTTACTCCACACAGAGCCTAATAATAATCCCTCCAAAACCAAAAACAATAATAAATTGGTCATTTTCAATCTACGACTGTTTGTGGGACATTGCTGTGCGCAATTGGCTGCCGCGTTCGCCCACAAATATACAGTCAATTCACTTCACAGTATATTCTGTGAAGCGCTTTGGCACGTCGAGAAGATGTGAAAAGCGCTATATCAAATGCAAGGATTATTATTATTATAGTTGTACTTGTAGCTAAATGGTTATGAAGAGCATGGAGTGCTCTACCTCAGAAAGCTGGAGGTGGGGATATTTAAACCACATTTGTATAGTGACTTTCGTGCCTTGGGACGTCCCAAGCGATAGGCAGAGATATTAAGGGGAAATGGTGAAAGAGCAAAGCAAAGATTAATTTCTGTTGGTCTGACACCTGCAAAAATCCATCACCACGCATAAGAGTATCCAAACCAGGTGCATACCTGGAGCACTGAAGTTTCGTATATGTGGAGATTTCTCTGTCTGAAATAAAGTGTGCCCTTATTTTCTGGAGTTACACCCTCCGCTTACCTAATTTCGGAGAGTACGCTTAAACCCCGCCTCGTCGGACTAACGGGGGAGCGGGGGAAGATCTGATCCAACGAGTCGGAATTTCATTTATCGGCATTTTTCAGTGCCGAAAATTATTGCCAGTACCAGCCTTGTTACTGTTTGAATCCCGCGAGCAGAAGATAGTGAATAAAATGTCTTCCGCTGGTGGGATTCAAACAATGTGAGTCAAAGGGGCAATCCGTGACCACTGCCAGCCATTCCAGTGGTACACACAAGCAGAGTTGGGAGTGAGGAGTCTACATACAGCCTTGCGGAATTTTTTAAAAACATTATCCGGCTAGGTTGGAATTCCAGACACCCGGACCCCGGTAAGCCAGGGAATGGACCAGGTTAGGTGTAGGTTGGCTTGGGAACCACAGTTTGTGTTGGGATAGCGCTCCGGGACCCAACCCGGCGTGAAGGGCATTATATAACTATAAGTTGTTGCTGTTTTTGCAGCAGGTTAACCTGCTAAGATCTAATAAATCGGTGGTTCAGTCTCGATCGGCTGAATAGCTCCCTCCTTCCTATTCCCGTTTTCATATGCACCTAGGAACATTTAAGGACGGTTTGCGGGACTCTGCTGTCGCAATTGGTTGCTGCGTTTCGCCCACAAAATATAGTCAATTTGCTTTACAGTGTATCCTGTGAAGCGCTTTGAGATGTCTGAATGACGTGATAGGGCGCTACATCAAATGCAAGGATTATTATTTTTTTTAATGTTGACTTAACATGCTTGCTTGGTATCAACCTGTCGCTGTTGATGTCACTCTCAGGCCTCTAGGTCTGAGGGTTGTGAGCTTTGAGCTCGTAATCCACCTGACCCTTCAGTGCTGTGTAGTGCTGCGCTGCACTGTCAGAGGTTCGGATGAGGCATTAAACCAGGATCTTTCTGTCTCCCTATTCTTCAGGTGGATGTGAGAGATCCGATGACACTATACTTTGGCCATTCACCACATAGTTGTTGAATACTTTACTGTGAACAAAATTGGCCTGTTTGCCAACATGTCACAGCAATTACTGTGCTGTACTGTTCAGCAATATTACAGCAAATTTTATTCATTTCTTACCCAATCCACTTTGTGAACAACAAAGAATTTGCTGGTTGCTTGACAAAGAGGAAGTTCTAGGAGGCGAGCAGGCTTTAGATTACGTGGCTCGTGTGCAGAAAAACACCAGCCAAATGGCATGTAAGGATAAGGATTTATGTGCAGGGCAGATTCACATTAATTTTGTGCCCCAATGTAACTTATGAGGTTCTGCAATAAGAGCCAGGCAGGAACAAAGAACCTTGCATTTTATAACGTCTTTTCACATACAAACCTCTCAACCACTTTACGGTAAGCACTTTAAGCACTCCATGATGTGTAAGACGCTATATGTATATATAATAATATATATAATAGCAAGTTGTTGTTATGTCAAGTACAGTGACTGTTTGGAGGCAAATGCAGCAGTCATTTCACGCACTGCCTGTGTCCACAAACCAGCAAGAAGGGAACGATTAATTTAATCTGTGGGGAATGGTTGGCCAGGACACAAGGAGAAACTCCTTTCCCTTTTTCAAGTAGAATCAAGGGATGTTTAATGTCCACCTGAACAGGCAGATGGGATCCAGGACTCACGTCTCATCCAAAAGACGGCACCTCTTGACAATTCAGCGCTTTTCCCCCTCTTTGCCTCCCCCCACACACAGTGTGCGGTTGTTTAGCCTGATCTATCAGCTTAAGCCTAGATGGCGCGGAGCTTCAATTCACAACCTCTCCACCGCATTTGTATAGCGCCTTTCATGTCGCGAGGACATCCCAAGGCTCTGGACGGACAGGGTTACGGACCCGGGGTGGGGGTCGGGGTGGGGGAGGTTGGAGGGCAAGGGGGAAGCAGGGAGATCGAAAGCACGGTCGAAGAGGAGGGTTTTGAGAGTGGGTCTTGAAGGTGGCGAGTGAGAGGGCGAGTTGGAGGGACTGCGGGATGGAGTTCCAGAGAGTGGGGGCAGAGTGGCGGAAGGCCCACCCGCCAATAGTGGGGCGACCAAGGCGGGGGACATGCAGCAGGCCGGAGTCCGCTGAGCAGAGAGAGAGCAGGATGGTAGGGGGTTAGGAGGTCGGAGACGTAGGGGGGAGCAAGACCGTAGAGAGCTTTGAAGGTGGGGACCAGGATCTTGAACTGTGATCCAGAGGCAAGACCCCTCCCCTCCATGTCACGCTGACGTGCGAGTGTTTGAAGGAGCGAAGCCTTGACAGTTATCTAGGCCATGAGATTAAAGGCTGGATCTGATTGATGACTTTTCGATTGTGGAACTCACTGCCGGAATCTAAGCAAATTTAAGAGGAAATTTGATTGATGCAAAATCTTCATCCCCGCCCTGAAAGCCCACCACGACCTTGCTCCTCCCTACCTACCTCTGTGACCTGCTAACTCCATACAGACCTGTCCGCTCCCTCCCTTAGCAGGCTGTGGCCCGCTATATGTCCCCCGCCCAGCCCACCCCACATCAGTAATGGGGTCTTCAGCCTCCCTGTCCCCACCCTTTGGAACTCCATCCCACACTGTTCGCCTTGCTTCCTCTCCTACCTACTTCAATGCACGTCTCAAGACCCTTCTCTTCAACCGGGTCTTCGGCCACTCTCCTGCCCCTATGCTGCACCCCTCTTGATCCCAACCCCCAGCTCGGGTCCAAATATAGGAGTGTCCAACAACAACAACAGCAACAAAATTACATGTGTAAAGCGCCTTTCATGTCGTGGAGGACCTCCCAAGGTGCTGGACAGACAGAGTTAAGGACCCGAGCTGGGGGAAGGGGAGGGTGGACGGAAGGGGAGAAGCAGGGAGATCGAAAGCACGGTCGGAGAGTGGGTCTTGAAGGCGCCGAAGGAGTGGGTGAGACGAAGGGACTGTGGATGGACTTCCAGAGGGTGGGTGCAGAGTGGCGGAAGTTCCACTGCCGATAGTGGGACGCGCGAGGTGGGGAATGTGAAGCAGGCCGGAGCCCGCTGAGCGGAGGGAGCGAACAGGGTGGTAGGGGGTTATGAGGTCAGAGAGGTATATGAGGGGGGCAAGAGTGTGGAGGGCTTTGAAGGTGAGGACCAGAATCTTGAACTGTATCCCCTGTGTGATGGGAAGCCAGCGGAGTTGGGTGAGGATGGGGGTGATAGGGTCGCGGAGCCTGGTGCGGGAGAGGACACGGGCTGCAGAGTTAGTTCTGGATGATCTGCAGCCTGTGGAGGGAGGAGTTGGGAGGCCGACAAGCAATGAGTTTGCATAGTCGAGCCTCGATGTAATGAAGGCGTGTATGAGGGTTTTGGCGGCCTGTGGTGTGAGACAGTGGGTCATGGTACAGATTTGGGGTGGAAAGGATAGTTGAGGGTCAAACAAGACCCCAAGGTTCCGGACTGGCTCAGTGAGGGGGAGTGAGCCCCATGGACGGTGATGCTGTCAGCGCCTGAGGTGAGGAGGCGCTGACGGGAGTCAATCAGGATAGCCTCGGTCTTGTTGATGTTCAACTGAAGAAAGTTACCTCTCATCCAGGACTTGATGTCTGACAGACATTCTGTCAGGACAGCAGTGAGTCCTGGAGTCAAGGCTGGAGGCAGAGAGATAGAGTTGGGTGTCATGTGGAAGTTGACCCCATGTCTGCGGATGATGTCACCAAGAGGGAGATATAGATATTGAAGAGGAGGGGACCAAGGACAGAGTCCTGAGGGATGCCGCACGAGACGGTCCGGGGGCGAGAGGAGAAGCCGCTTGTGGAGATGAAGTGCAAGTGGTGTGAGAGGTACGATCTGAACTAATGAAGGACAGCGCTGTGGAGGTGGAGGTGAGAGGAGAGGCAGTGGAGGAGGATAGAGTGGTCGACAGTGTCGAATGCAACAGGGAGGTCAAGGAGGACGAGGAGGCAGAGGGAGCCCTGGTCGCAGATGGACAGAACGTCATTTGCCACTTTGACCAGGGCAGTTTCTGTGTTGTGGACTACACGGAAGCCCAATTGGAGGAGATCGAGAAGGGAGTGGCGGGAGAGGAAGGAGCGAGGCTGAGAAGCAACAACTTGTCCAGAATCTTGGGACATCATTCCGGCATGAAAGGCGCTATAGAAATGTAATCTGCTGTTGTTATTGCATACATGAAGGAGAAGGGAATAGAGGGATGGAGGCTCATGTGGGTTACAAAAATTGGTTCGGAGTAGGTGTGCCCCAATGGCCTGTTTCCATGCCTTTAACCTTGTGTAATTGTGTGCGGCACAAAGTGGTGCTGATCACGATCTGAGCCTGGCAGTGGTTGTGTAGCTCCTGCACCTGATCTCGATTAAGTGTGACTCTCCTGGGAGGAACAAGTGTG